TTTTAGGTATTATCGATCAAACACATCACTTATAACGACTAAATTGTGATACTTTATCAAAAAAGATCTAGGGCACAAAAATTCTGGGTCAAATATTCCATTATATTCTGCGCCAAAACTATTCATCGATTTTTAGCGTTAAAAATTATAGCTTTGAATATTTAATTTTATTTTTGTCTTACTAATTAAGAACACTTCTCAAATTTTTACTTAAAACAAATTGCAATTTTACTTTTCATGATGTATTCTCGATTTTCTAATGTGAACAAAAACATCGATTACTCATACATCTTCCTCGTGGCATTTTTTTTTAGCGGTTTAATACTGCTAAACGCGATAACTCAAAGACTTCATGGTAGTTGTATTAATTATAGATGCAGTGATAATATTTTATGTCGATAATGCTTTCAACTTTTTCATTCAATTTATTAAGACGTTAATAATTTGTTCTTTAATTGTTGACTTTGAATCTATTCCCAAACAATGCATTGTTATTTTGCAACAAAACTATTTCGGAAATGTTGAGATACTGTTACATAACCTTACTCTTTAAAAGATTTTAAATTATACCATCCATAAAAGGTCACAGCTATCAACTTCCTGTATGCCAAAACAAAAAAAAAATCTAGTTTTTAATGACTGTACAATGTACATATAAATGTGAAAAGCAAAAATATATACCTGAACAAAGGGATATTCACATAAAAATGTATCATTGAATGTTTGAATATTTTTTCCTCTGTAACTGTAAACAATTTTGGAGTATATCAGTAGGTATATCACGTACAGTAACAATAACTTTTTATCGAAATCAAATTACATCATAAAATTATTAAAAAACGCCTCAAACGATTTTAAGGTCGCTTGATTAGTTACGCTTCAATCTACCATTAATTGTCTACAACAAAAAGTACATAGAGACTTTTTATATGTGCTCCTATTAACTTTTGCTTTCAATATCGGCATATTTAACTTCCTGATACGATTATTTTATAATGATTCGTTGTCGATTTTTTATGGCCATGACCGAAATAGGAAGCTCTCAAGAATTAGACACAAAATGATGATGTATCCTGACAACAATCAAATTTCTCAATTAATCGTTATAAGTATTTCTTATTACTTCAATCACTATTTTTTATTACGCATTAAAAATAGACAAACTTTCAGTATTGGTATATCTAAGTGAAAGAAGACAATGCCTGCTTGCGATGTTGAATTCAGAAGTGTTTCAAAATATTGAAGAACTTTGAATTGCTTTAGCAACTCTTCTGAAGTTTTCCGAAGCATTGTAGTAAGAAATTTACAATTTTTGGTTTTATTTGACATGCTCAAATAATCCGCTTTCAAAATGTATACGCGATTTGATTGTTTTAACAAAATTTAACAAAAAATTTCAATTTTAGAACCTATATTGAAATTCTGTACGAAAATTTATTGAACTTGAATACAATGTTGTATAAGTTAGCTTAATGTAATTTTTAAAAATACCATTCGGTAGCCTAGAAACATGGCTGCCTTCTCACAAAAATCGGATTAATAGAAGGAGACTACAAAAAACATACCTGTTTGATCAACATAAAAATTAAGTTATGTTTTTCATTGTTCAATTACAAATAAATACTTTTTTGGCAAATGAAACTTTCTACTTATATACTGTTGACAGCATAAATTACTATTATTTCTTTCTTTACTTGTTCGGTCAGGAGCAATATTTAATATTTATAAATGACTCTTTAACTATTAAATTCGCAAATCCCTGGCAAGAGCGAGCAAAATATCGAGGGCAGCTTTTGCGACACCCTGTATACAAGGAGTAAATGACTTATGCATGATATCGGAACCATTTATAAGGATAAATAATTCACCACCACAATCAATCGATAATCTTTAAGAGGACCATTGGGCATTTCTCATTTGCACATTCGCCCTACGTTGCGGGATAGTAGGCCATGGTGTCAGAAGTCAGGCAGGATTCAGTGCTCGGCCCGCCGCCACCCCCGATGCTCGAAAACGCGATACGGCATAACCTCAAAGGGTCGTGTCCTTTGAGGAGTCACCTGATTGTTGAGCAGCAGTGTTGACTACTTACTACTTGTATTTTCATCAAAATCAGAAAGTTAATGCACGCCGTATCGATTTAAAGCCGCAGAAAGGAATATCAATAGGGTTTTATGTGGTGTAGAAAAAAATGGAATTAAATTAATGAAGTTAATGGTTTTGCCGCGATTCACTCGAGACAACGAACGAAGTCTTTGAGAAATGAAGAATGAATTCTTCATAAAAGAAAACGAATTTTCTTTGGTCTTCTTTCCTGAATGATCTTTTATGTAATCCCTTCCTTATTAGGTACCTATTATTATGGTTTTGAAGACATTAAAATTGGTTTGGGATAATTATAACTGAAACAGTTCTCAAAAAATTGCACTACACCCATGTTTGCCATAATGTAAATGCAATAATTTTAGGAAATTACAAACGGTTAAGTAGATTATTATTAAAATCTAGTAAATTAGGGGAGACATATCAAATATTAATGTTTTACTTAAATCTGAGTAATGATAGACGATAAACGTTGGAAGTGACAATAGATGAATTTAATATTAAAAAGTGCTCTAAGAACTATCACTAAGAAGATCAAGGGGTAAGCATAACAGATTAAAACGATTACGTTTGTCTAACAAACTACTACTACTATTTAATGAATCAACAACAATTTATTAAACTGATTGTCACATTACAAATTATTTGAGAAAGAAACGCGTCGTATTAGGATTTTCAAAGATCAATCACGACAGTTCATGAAGTATCTGCATAAAAGTATTGTTGATATTCAACAACATAATATGGTACTTATAATCTTTTAATCTAAACCTTGGATTATGTATTCAAAATAGACAACTTTAACAACTTAATATTGAAAAGTTTCATCAATTGCTGTATGTTTAAATTTTTCAGTCCATAGCAAAATGAGTTTTGTGCAAGAAGTAGAAAAACATATGTTTATTTACAAATCTAGATTTGAGGAATTATTGAATACCTATAGTTCCTTATTTAAAACATAATTTATTAGGAATTGAATATGGTGGATTTTAATCTTTAAAATCACACAGTCAACGTGATAAAGCAAGTTACATTAAACATTACCAAAATAAATAAAGTAACTATACAGACTGTTACAAATTTGCTACTCACTACAGGAATCTCGGAAACGGTAAGAGGTACTGAGTAGCTTAAATGGGGGCAAAGTTGCGTAATCTGGGGACCAACATTATGTCTAAAAAATCAAGGCTAACATGATTAGTTTTCGAAATATTTGAAAAAAACCGAAATTTTGGAAATCCGTTTTTGTTTCATTTCAGCCTTGTTTGAGGTGATATTGAAAAAAAAACACACTTTCTCATGGAAATTTTTGGCCCTCTATTGAATGGCATAATCAATTTTTATATGTAATGTTTTGTCTCTCCAGGACCATCATCAACTTAATTTTTTTTAAATACGACCCTGGACATTTTATTACATTTTTTGCAAGCCTTCAAGACTATATTGCCTCAGCCTGAACCAGATTCAGACGTTTTGTCTCAAAAAATTCATTTTCAAATTAGATAAATTGGGAACACATCCCAATTTATAAAATTTTTTTTTTAGATTTCTGTTGCTTGAATTATCCTACACTGTAAATGTCGTTAGACCCTGTGAAATCCACCTAGTTATTTAAACTATTACCATCACGCGTTACAATAAAACATTATTTGAGTTTTAATCCCGTGTCATAGTTATTTCTAGGTTTCTCGAGTGCTTAAAATTCAAATAAATATCAATCTAATTTTTTTCAGGATATTCATACAAATACATCTGACATGCTCCTTCACAGTTACAGATATAATAAATTCCGATCATATTATGTTTATCTTTATATTCAACATTTGCCAAAACGGAAACGTTTTTGTACATTTACTGTAATTTTTAAAGTATAATATTCATTTAGAGTTTTGGTTGTTCATATGCATTTTTAAGAATTAATTTGTCATAATGAAATTGAAATTGTAATAATGTTTTAATTTCGACGCAACAACTTATCGAATTATGTATGACCAGATGATGGAGATTAAAACTCCAATAATGTATTATTGTAACGTGTGATGGTAATAGTTTAAGTAACTAGGTGGATTTCACAGGGTCTAACGACACTTAGAGTGTACGATAATTCAATAAACATACAAATATAAATAAAAAATTTAGATAAATTTGGAACGAATACATTGAAGATGGTTCAGGCTGAGGCAAATACAGTATTGGGGGTCATGAAGACTTGCAAAAATTGTAATAAAATTTCCAGGGTCGTATTTATAGAAATGAAATTGATGATTGTCTTGGAGACAAAAAGTTGCCATGAGAAAATGTTCTCTTTTTTCGACTCAAACAAAAACGGATTTCGAAAATTTCGCATTTTTTCAAATAAATATTTAAACTAATCATGTTAGCCGTGACTTTTTAGAGCCATAATGTTGGTCCCCTGATTATGCAACTTTGCTCCCATTTCACGAAATTACTTTACTTATTGTTGATAAAAATATTACCAAAAAATGACCAACTGACTAAAAATCATATTAAACACATACACTAGGTATCATATTTTATCGCTATATAAGCAGCTCGGTATTTGACCTTATATAATATTTAAAAATGACGTGGGAACCACCTAATAAATCGATGAATACTAAGAAGCCTGCTGTATGTTAATACTAATATCTATTATCGATACAGTGAGAATATATGAATGAACTTTCAAAGCGTTATATATTTTTTCTGTTATTTTGTAGAGTGACTTTTTTAATCGTATACAAAGCCAGTACCCAGGTCAAAATCCTCAATTAACTTAGGAGCCACTTTCTTGATATAACAAAGTTACAATATAATCGAGGCAAAATTCTAAAAAAAAACATGCAAACTCTTTGCAATTAAAAATGTGCATGGTAGTTGATTTCTTACCTTTTCAGACGCCATACGTGTCCACACAATCCAGATGACTACAACGACCACCTCCACCCTGAAGGACCCTTCTTAGGCAAACCCAAGGACGAATACTGCGCCACCAGGGGCGAAAGGTTCCCCATCAAAAAACCAGAAGACCACCTCAAGCTCGAGGGAGATTTCGAAAAACCCAAACCGGAAGAGTGGAAGCCTGGCGAGAGAGCTCCCGTCAAGAAGCCCCAGGACAACCTTCGACTAGAAGGCGATTTTGAGAAGCGCACTCCAGAGAAATGGCAACCCGGGGATCGTCCGCAACCGAAAAAACCTCAGGATAATTTACGTAACGAAGGTGATTTCGAGAGACCCGAGAAACCTGATTATCGTCCTGCAGAGAGACCCACTCCCAAACGTCCCGAAGATAACCTCAAACTAGAGGGAGACTTCGAAAGGCACACTCCAGAGAAGTGGAGACCGGGCGACAGGCCTGAAGTGAAGAAGCCCCAGGACAATCTACGTAACGAAGGCGACTTCGAACGGCCAGAGAAACCAGAGTTTAAACCCGCCGAAAGGCCAAAGCCGAAGAAACCAGAAGACAACTTGAAACCAGAGGGAGATTTCGCAAAGCGCACTCCGGAGAAATGGAGGCCGGGCGACAGACCCGAAGTGAAGAAACCCCAGGATAATCTACGTAACGAAGGCGACTTTGAACGACCAGAGAAACCAGAGTTTAAACCCGCCGAAAGGCCAAAGCCGAAGAAACCAGAAGACAACTTGAAACCAGAGGGAGATTTCGCAAAGCGCACTCCAGAGAAATGGAGACCGGGCGACAGGCCTGAGGTGAAAAAACCTCAGGACAATCTACGTAACGAAGGTGATTTCGAAATACCAGAGCCGGAAAAATGGACCCCAGCGGAGAGGCCTAAGCAGAAGAGACCAAAAGATAATCTTAAACAAGAGGGTGACTTTGAAAGACCAGAGAAACCTGAATATAAGCCGGCCGAGCGTCCTGTCGCCAAAAAACCCCAAGACAATTTGAAACCTGAAGGCGACTTCACCGGAACCAGAACTATCATTGATGATTATCGGGTCATCCGTGGTGACAGAGCTGAAATCAAGCGCCATGAGGACAACATTGTTTTGGAAGGAGAATTTACAGGTAAAAACTTTTAAATAAAATAAAGCCAAACTAGGCAATTATACGTATACGTTTTGTCTATGAGAATGAAACGGCATCAACCTTTCTTATCATTAGTATGACTTAAATCCTAAAAATATCCCTATCCTCTTAGTACCACTTATATATTCTACTGAATACTATATAAAAAAATTTGTACTACATAACTACTAGAATCCAGGATACTTTTATTCAAATATTTGCATTATACAAATATTTAAAGTTTAAAGAAAAAATTAACTATTGCAAAATGGTTTCTCTTGAATGTCATTCATTCCATATGTTCCATATGTTGCATACTTTTTTTAATTTTAGAGAAGTCTACAACTTTTATGTTTCAATTTTTTTCTAAGGGAGTTAATGTTGCTGAAGGGTTGACCACCCTGTCTGTATAGTATATAGCTGTTTAGTACTGAAAGGCAATTCACTTTTTATTTTCTTTACAGATATAACCACAAATAAAGTTGACTTCACTGGCGAATTAGTCCACAGACCCACTCCCATACGACGCAATACCTGGACTAAAGTCGAGGGCGATTTCATAGATGACACGACAACCAGATCTGAATTCATCGACTACAGCACCACAGTAGAACGCACAGTCGTAAAAAAACGTCAAGACAACCTCAACGTAGAAGGGGACATGACCTTCGACACTTCTAACACGGTCGAGTACACCGAAAAAACCCCGAAGGTAGAGCGGCGCCGAAGAACGTGGACCAAGGATGACATCGATAAATTCTATTCCACACAAGACACGGAAGTTACCACTACCACTCAAGATGTGTACAAGAACTTCGACACAACCGACTATCGTCAAACGGTTGTTATTCATAGAGACAATTTAAAACAGGAAGGTCCTTTTGAAGGTACACCTAAATCAAGGGAGGACTTCGTGCCCAAACTTACCGAACGGCCTACTCCGTCGAAACCAAAAGACAATTTGAAACTTGAGGGAGAATTCCCAAAACGTACTCCGGAGAAGTTCGTTCCAGCTGAACGACCTAAACAGAAGAAACCGGAAGATAATCTCAAGCAAGACGGAGATTTCGAACGGCCCGAGAAACCGAGTTACAAACCCGCTGAACGACCTCGACCGATAAAGCCCGACGACAACCTTCGACTCGACGGAGACTTTGAGCGACCAGAAAAACCAGAATGGTCCCCGGCTGAGAGACCCAAACAAAAACGTCCAGAGGATAATCTTAGAAATGATGGGGACTTTGAGAGACCAGAAAAGCCCAAATATAGACCAGGCGAACGACCCGTCCCTATAAAACCTGAAGATAACTTAAAACTTGAGGGAGATTTCCCAAAACGTACTACTGAGAAGTTTGTTCCCGCTGAACGACCTAAGCAGAAGAAACCGGAGGATAACCTCAAACAAGACGGTGATTTCGAACGACCGGAAAAACCGAAATACAAGCCTGCTGAACGACCTGTTCTTAAAAAGCCCGAGGACAACTTAAAACTTGAGGGAGAATTCCCGAAACGTACTACGGAGAAGTTTGTTCCAGCTGAACGACCCAAGCAAAAGAAGCCGGAAGACAACCTCAAGCAAGACGGCGACTTCGAACGACCGGTAAAACCGAAATACAAGCCTGCTGAGCGACCTCAACCAATAAAGCCTGACGACAACCTTCGACTCGACGGGGACTTTGAACGACCAGAAAAACCAGAATGGTCCCCGGCCGAGAGACCCAAACAAAAACGTCCAGAGGATAATCTTAAAAATGATGGTGACTTTGAGAGACCAGAAAAGCCCAAGTATAGACCCGGTGAACGACCTGTTCCTATAAAACCTGAAGATAACTTAAAACTTGAGGGAGATTTCCCGAAACGTACTCAGGAGAAGTTTGTTCCAGCTGAGCGACCTAAACAGAAGAAGCCGGAAGACAACCTCAAGCAAGACGGTGACTTCGAACGACCGGAAAAACCGAAATACAAGCCTGCTGAACGACCTCAACCAATAAAACCTGACGACAATCTTCGACTCGACGGAGACTTTGAGCGACCAGAAAAACCAGAATGGTCCCCTGCCGAAAGACCCAAACAAAAACGTCCAGAAGATAATCTTAAAAATGATGGCGACTTTGAGAGACCAGAAAAGCCCAAGTATAGACCCGGCGAACGACCTGTTCCTATAAAACCTGAAGATAACTTAAAACTTGAGGGAGATTTCCCGAAACGTACTCAGGAGAAGTTTGTTCCAGCTGAGCGACCTAAGCAAAAGAAGCCGGAAGACAACCTCAAGCAGGACGGTGACTTCGAACGACCGGAAAAACCGAAATACAAGCCTGCTGAGCGACCTCAACCAATAAAGCCTGACGACAACCTTCGACTCGACGGAGACTTTGAACGACCAGAAAAACCAGAATGGTCCCCGGCGGAGAGACCCAAACAAAAACGTCCAGAGGATAATCTTAAAAATGATGGTGACTTTGAGAGACCAGAAAAGCCCAAGTATAGACCCGGCGAACGACCTGTTCCTATAAAACCTGAAGATAACTTAAAACTTGAGGGAGATTTCCCTAAACGTACTACTGAGAAGTTTGTTCCAGCTGAGCGACCTAAGCAGAAGAAGCCGGAGGACAATCTCAAGCAAGACGGTGATTTCGAACGGCCTGAGAAACCGCGCTACAAGCCCACTGAACGACCTCAACCAATAAAGCCTGACGACAACCTTCGACTCGATGGAGATTTTGAGCGACCAGAAAAACCAGAATGGTCCCCGGCGGAGAGACCCAAACAAAAACGTCCAGAGGATAATCTTAGAAATGATGGCGATTTTGAGAGACCAGAAAAGCCCAAATATAGACCAGGCGAACGACCCGTTCCTATAAAACCTGAAGATAACTTAAAACTTGAGGGAGATTTCCCGAAACGTACTACGGAGAAGTTCGTTCCAGCTGAACGACCTAAGCAGAAGAAGCCGGAAGACAACCTCAAGCAGGATGGTGATTTCGAACGGCCGGAAAAACCGCGCTACAAGCCCGCTGAACGGCCTCAACCAATAAAACCTGACGACAATCTTCGACTCGACGGAGACTTTGAGCGACCAGAAAAATCAGAATGGTCCCCGGCCGAGAGACCCAAACAAAAACGTCCAGAGGATAATCTTAGAAATGATGGCGACTTTGAGAGACCAGAAAAACCCAAATATAGACCAGGCGAACGACCTGTTCCTATAAAACCTGAAGATAACCTTCGTCTTGAAGGAGATATTGCGGTGCCTGACAAACCGGTATACCAACATACTGAAAGGCCTAAACAAAAGAAACCTCAGGACAATCTTAAATCTGAAGGGGAATTTGAAAGACCCGAAATCAAAGAAGTTGGTCCCGCAGAAATTAGAAAACCTATTAAACATGTTGACAATCTCAAACAGGAGGGTACGATGGAAATTACCAGAAAGGACGATTACAATGTTGTTCGAGGAGAAAGAGTGGACATCATCAAACGGGAAGATAATCTCAAAATGGAAGGAGAATGGGACATCCGTCGCAGAGACGATTTTACTAAAAAGACCATTATAGATCGCGCCGAAATTATCAAGCACGAAGATAGTTTGAAAATGGAAGGCGAATGGGATATTCGTCGTAGAGAAGATTTCAATAAAACTACGGTGGTCGACAGGGCTCAAGTCATCAAACACGAAGATAACTTGAGATTAGAAGGGGAATTTAACGACGCCCGTTCAAGGGACGATTATACTGTGGTGAGAGGAGAAAGATGTGACGTTATCAGGCGAGAAGATAACCTGAAACTAGAAGGGGAATTTAACGAGTACAGAAAACGTGACGACTTCACCACTCGTACTGAAAGAACTGAAATCATCCGTCACGAGGATACTTTGAGGCTTGAGGGTGATTTCGAAAGACCAACTCCAACTAAGGTTTCGCCCGCAGAAAGGCGTCGGCCTATTAAACCTGACGACAACTTATATCAAGAGGGAGAATTCGAAAGGCCCGAAAAACCAAAATACCGCCCAGGTGAACGTCCTACTCCAAAGAAACCCCAGGATAATCTTAAACAGGAGGGCGATTTTGAGCGCCCGACTCCTTCGAAAGTAGGTCCTGGGGAAAGGAGAACCCCTATTAGACAGCAGGATAACTTACGTCTTGAAGGGGAAGTTGAAGTTCCAGAGAAACCAGGTTATCGCCCTGGCGAGCGTCCCACGCCTAAGAAGCCCAAAGACAACCTATATCTGGAAGGTGGTGTCGACGTTCCAGACAAACCAGGCTACCGGCCTGGAGAACGTCCTACACCGAAAAAGCCAAAAGATAACTTATACCTAGAAGGCGACTTCGAAAGACCTTCGCCGACAAAAGTTGGGCCTGGAGAACGTAGAACTCCTATCCGTCAACATGATAACTTAAAATCAGAGGGAGACTTCGAAACTCCTGTGAAGCCTAAGTACGGACCGGGAGAAAGGGCAGATATCATCAAGCATCCAGACAATCTGAAATCCGAGGGCGATTTCATAGGTACGCCTAAGAACAGAGAAGATTTCAAACCGACTAGAGGAGAAAGAGCCCCCATTAGGAAACCCCAGGACAATCTCAAACTTCCCGGCGGGGAATTCCAGGATACGACGGTCGCAAAATCTCAGTACACTGTGGTTAGAGGTGAAAGGGCTGAAATTAAAAAGCACGAAGACCATCTTACACTCGGCAGCGGCAAAATGGAATGCATCACTACGACGAAAGAAACCTTCGAAAATACACCTAAAAGGGAATCTCCAATTGGACCGGCCGGTAGGCAAATTGTCAATAATCGTCGTCACATGGAATCTCATATAAGTCTTGGCAACGACGTCACCAAAATGGAGACCACGAATCAATCAAATTACAATACATACACGCGAAAGGTCGACCGCAGAACTGTCACCGACAACAAACAAGTTAATGTTGTCGACAGACGAACCACCAATGTCACTGACAAAACTATTAAAATTGTTGATAAAGGAACAGATGTTACAGACAAAAGAGATATTTCAAGGACGGGAAAGACCTCTACCGACGTATCCACGGACACCAAAACACTTGCAGACGGCACAATCGTTACTACTACCCGTAAAACCACAAGTACTTCTGGAGTACAACAGCAGGTGAATCATGTCGGACAGAACGGCCTAGAAGTTGACCAGCGTGTACATCGTGAAGTAGTCACTGGTGCCAACGAAATTAGAAAATCATCCTCACAAACTCACGTCCGCAAAGTCGTAGAGAACCGCAACGTAACGAACGTCAATAATATAATCCATTCTTCGAGTACTACCAACGTTTCCAACAAACAGCACACGGAGAAGAACGTGAACGTCTCTCAAGCTACTCACCACAAGAGAAACGTGATAAGTTCGGAGGAGATCAACAATCAAATTTTACACAGGAAGGGAATTCACACGTCCACAGAAGCTTTACATGCGACGAGCTCATCTGCCTTGGATATGAGGAAGTCTGTTTGCAACCTCCACGACCAGGGTCGAACCGTAGTCAACACCGAAAGACACAGCTTGAGCTCCATGCACCGTTCAAATCAAGAATCGAACGCTACGAATAGACGTAGCCAGCAGACTGTCTACCAGACTGTGGAGAGACCACAAAAAATCGTCAGAAAAGATAATCTCTCAGTCGGCGGCCACTTCTACGGACAATCGGAAGCAAAATCTTATGGCGAATTCACCAAGCAGCAGAATATTCAGAGGGTTGAGAGGGTGAACAGAAGGTCGAACGTCTCAAATATCACTTTAGGTGATAGCAATGTCCACGTAGTTACTTCGTACAAGAAAGAGTATTCTCCCAGGAACATCGGTCCTTGTCCCGCGGTATTGGTCGACAAACCCACGGGTCCTTTCAAACACACCAGAGACACGAAATCTCACAAATTTTATATGCCCGTAGTGTCCAAGTAGACGCCATATCGACCATTCCATTAAAAACGTATCATTCTTTAGACTGTCAATAATATTCTAACATTGTGATATTCTGATACTGTTATTAATTATTATTAATTGAATATTTTTTTTATAGAGGTAGAGGTAACAAACTGCAATAAACACATTTACAATATCATAATATCATTGTATCCGGCTTAGGGTATGGGTTTTATATCATCTTGCTTGGGACGTTTACTTCAAATTTGGTAGATTATTTTTGTACACCTGTCAAAAGCTTGCCGCTTGTATACCTAATATATATAAAACCCAATAAACTTATAATTTAATATTTTATTTTGTTTATTTACTTTTGTTCCGTTTCTTTGTTAGTTACCGCACGGCAATAATAAGGAAGTTTTATAGAGTATTCTTTGTTATCTCCAATCTACCTTTATGTTCGTAAAGATGTCGTTTTGGAGAAAAGTCCTTTATTTTGGGAATGACACCATCAAATAAGGGAACTTATATGTGTGCGGTGTAAACCGAATATGTAAATACAAGTATTTAAATTTAATAAATTATTATTTTGTAGTTCGTGTTTTCTTCCAAAAAGCAGATAGATTATTCTTTCTCATTTATTACAATATTTTGTTTAATAGCATTGATTTTACAACTTATAAAAAAATAATATAATAAGTTAATAGTCATATTCTGGCGAAGTCAAAACGAATACACTTTAGATAGAAAAAGATAATTACAATAATTAGACATTTATTTGAAGATAATTACTATTTTTTATTTAATTAAAAAGTAACGGTATAGTAGGAATACTATGTAGGATAATTGCCATAAAACTTCCCGGCCCGATAACGCATTTTTTGATTCTATAAAAGTTTTTGCTGTTAAGAAAATACGAATCACCATGACGAACTTCAATTTTGTTTTTTGTTGTACAGGGTGGATCAAAAACATAAAAATGTTTTTTCTGCAAGATACGAAAAAAGGCATTCTTGAATCTTGGTAAAGGTTTGTTTTGTTTGAAAATCAAAAATTGAATTAAGTATTTTCTAGCACGCCTCTTATAAAAGTACCTATACCATAGACCTTATAAAATATACTAGGTCAATGACCTATACTAATTCCTAAAATAATAATGACATTTAAGGACATACTTGTCACTTGTTATTGTCTTTATTTAATGAAATAATTATTTAATGTAAAATAGCTACCTACTGAGCAAACAGTTTTTATAATAAAATGTTATGGGGGATGGTCATATAGGTATCATATCGCTACGTCATGGAACAATTTAACGAACAATTTGTAGGAATTCCAATAAGTCAGATGGCAATGTACAAGATAATAAAAAAGAACTGGTTCGGTTTTAAACCTCAACAAGAAAAAAGAGAAATATAACCATAACGATGTTGCCAGTTTTAGTTCTGCGTTCTGTTAAAGAAACTTCTGTAATGTCCCTTAGAAATCGTGCTAAACAGTTTGAAGTTATGAAAAAAATGTCATATTCAGAAGATTTTAAATGAAAATAAAATATTTCCGTTCAAACCACAAATTTTCAAACATTGAAACGAAAAAGACTAGATTTTTGTTTGTGGGTAGGAGTTAAAATTTTAAATGGAAATATCGATTTTATTAAATTAAGTTTATTATGTTTTCTGATGAATCTACATGTTCTACTAATGGAACTGTGACATCACAACAAGCCAGGTACTGGTCTCATGAAAACTCTGAAATTAGAATAATGACACGAAGACAATATTTGACAAAAGTGAAGATGAGCTGCGCGATATCTATCCATAGCATTACAGACCCATATTTTTACAGTAACGCCTGCAATACATACTTAGAAATGCTTGATACATTTTTTAGCGATGAACTCGAAAATTTACCATTAAATTTTGGCCAAAAAATGTATTTTCAACAGGATGGTTGTCCAGCACATTGTACTCGTGAGGAAACAGAATGGCTTAACCATAGATTTGGTTCAAGATGGTGATGGATTAGTAGAAATGGTCCAATTTTGTGGCCCCCCAAGGAGCCCTGACTTAACCATGGCTGATATGTTTCTATGGGGCCGTTGAAACAAATTGTTTGTGCTACTCCAATACCAAATAATATTGATACAAATAAGCTATTCCCATGAGAAATTCAATTCTCTAAATAATTTTTCCTATGAACTATAGCGAAATTTTGCTTTGTTTTCGAACTACAATTAAAAAACTGAAAGGGGTGCATTTTCACCCCTATCTCCAATTTCCACCCTCTAATTTAATAGCACTCCGCGGTTTTTTCATCGGAAATTACCATTTAAACGATTCATGTAATAAAATATCTTTAATGTCATAGTTCCTTTCAAAATCCTCTATTCAATAGCCTATATTCCTATCTCTTCGTTAGGGAAGCAATTAGAAAAATATGCTCAATATGGGGGTGGTGTTTTTGAAATTTGATATCTATCATATTGCTTTGTTTACTTTTTTTAGCTTAATTGTTGTTGTAATTATGTTTGTATTATTTAAAAAATTACACTCGAATAAGACGTATTTTAGTTTTGAACTTTTTCCCTGTATAAAAAATTAAATTTTTGATAATTTGAGTCTTATTAATTTTTAAAGTAAAAACTTTCATCAAGAACGGCTTTTTTCGTATCTTTCACTTTTTGGTCCATTTGCCCTCTTGTAAACTCAATCCGCGGACATGCTGTATACGAAAAAATACATACATAAATTTCGTTGTAAATAAATAAAGATATCTAAAATAGATTTTAAATTCTCATATTGTAGAGGTTACATCCACTCCTTACAACCATACGAAAAATATTTGCATTTTATCAAATATAAAAATTTCATGTTTGTTAATTTTCGGCATACCTAAGGAAATAATTAAACTTCTACGTAAAAGACCCCTTAATTTTTCCCGAATTTATTTGCCCTCTGCACCCTGTATTTATTATGGTATCCAAACAAATACGGATAAATCCAACCGATCACTAGTTGGCATATTACAAAATGACATCTTAAACATCCCCGTGACAGCGCTGATATTATACACTCGTTTTAACATGAAAACTTGTATATTCATATTTTGGATTTCCTTTTTGGTTTTGTTTTCGCACGGCGTACTTTCAAAATCTCCAACAAACAAGGAACTGTACAGTATCGATAGGTGAGTTGGTGCCTCTCATTTTCTTAAGGGATCTAACGCGCTGATTATTTAGCGAAAATTCAAATGAAAACTCGGAGATAGACGTAGGGAAGCAAGGCGTTGCACTACATGATGAGAGTTTCAGGCCCAGGCATAAGCACAAAGGCAACGGTCACCGCACAAGGTTCTACAGGAGTATCGGCGACAGCGATAAGGATCAGGAGATTAAAGCTCCTCACTGCGCCGTCATGTATAAGGACAACGAGCCAGTCGGTATTCTGCAGGTAAGCAAAGGGTTATTTGTATAATAATGTCTTATAAACAAAAAAATATATAAGTATCATTACGTACAAAGTTAAAATAACTAAATAAACAACACGATCCAAAATTGGAACTCTATAATATTAATCGACACAGTGTTTCGATTTGTACCACCTTTGCTGTTAAGATATTTGAATGGGACAAAATGTAGATAGATATACGTAAAAAGTCCTACTGGATCAGAATATACGGGGTGATTCAGAATCAGAACTTATCCAAAAAAAAAATCTGGATGTAGAGGGCGATTCACTATATTTTGACCCCCCTTTAACTTTTTTGTTTTAAGAGTTATAAAAAAAATGTGAAATACAAAAGTTGCACGATTTTTTATGATGTTTTCGAAAATTAAAGTAGAAAAACAAATGAAGTTCAAACAAAATGGCCGCGGATGTTAACTTTGTTATTTTAAATAAAACACCCTGTATATTTTTACATAAAAAAGGTTTTTTATTAATAAGATATTTTGTAGTTGCTGGACGTCTTTCAAGCATTTCTGCCTTTTTTCCAATTACGTAAGGATTTAGATTTAGTTGTAATATATTTTGATATATCGGACATTGATATAGTCCAAAATGCGTATAGGTATTTCAAGTAAATCTCACTAATTAGACCGTGTGAGGCCAATTACTCATGGACAATCTTATATATGGTAGGTCGTGACAATGACAGGTAGTAATGCCATGATAACATTGTTATTGTTTGACAGTTTGTATTAGTATTTAATTAAAATGGGTNGGTCGTGACAGTGACAGGTAGTAATGTCATGATAACATTGTTATTGTTTTGTCTTACTTCCTCGAATGATGGAAATAAATACACCTTTTAATTTTTAGTGGACTGTATTTTATTCTAATGAAATAAAATGTAACATGTATAACTGCTGTGCGAAGCACATGTGAGCATTACAACAACCGGGGCTGCGCACTCTCTGTGGTGGGGGAGGATTACGCAATAGTTCATACACTTGCCATTTTGGCGCTGGCATCTAGGAATCTTGGGTGTTGTTGATAAAACAGGAACCAAGTTTATCATTTACTATTTGAATTTATTTTGTTTTGTGGATGGTTTTGTGATATTGTTGTATTTTATTTATTGTTAATTGATTATAAACTATAATAGGACAATGGTTTTTGTGTGTTGTGGACCGAATTGTGATGAAAATGTAAGTAAGAATTAAAACACATATATAAAGGAAACAATTGTACCGTAAATTTTTAACCTATATACAATATTTTTATTACACTTTCTTTCAGGTATACGATACACTGAAGTCTTGATCCTCAAATTGCTTATATACAGCAGAGTATGCAATAAGCAGTGAATTTTGTCGAACTCCTGGGGAGAAAAAGTTAAAATATGGAAGTTTGTCCATATTGTTTTTGCCAGGTAAATATATAAAAACTAAATAAAATATTGTGTCAATATTTTTGTATGTGTACTTTAGATTTTCATGAAAGTCCGACACAGGAAAATTCGCTTTATAAATATGGAAGTTGTGAAACAGAAACTCATTTGGAAGTACCAGATCCTATTCCAAGCACTTCTATTGAATGCAATACACCCAATATATATTCTGAAGTTCAAATCACATTAAGGCAGCCAGGTAATTTCGCATTTACTTAACCAGAATTAAAATTTTTAAAATGTTTCCAATTTACATTTATAGATTAGTATATTCTTTTATTAGAGGTTATTTGCAATATAAATTAGTGACTACTGTAAAATAAACATAAATCGTTGACTGAAGTATGTACTATTTTTAATCAACGCATGAATTTATTTGCAGTGTCCTTTACAGAATTTTATTTGATTATTTAGTAATACTTTTATAAAACTGTATAAATTGTAATAAATTCAATTCTCTTTAAAGGTGAAGAAGAGGATAATCCATTTATTTCAATACCAGGTACCTACTTCAAGGGATTGTATAACCCCAACCGAACAGGTATAGTTAGTGCGGTAGACTCAATTACTGAAACTTCATGAAGATATAAAGGTGCTTACTTTATTTTAAATAGTATGTGTAAATATTTGTATTAGACATGTTTCTATTAGTAAAAGTGTAGTTTAAACAAATTTAACATTTCTTGAATTTCAATTTGCATATT